CACACACACACACACACACACACACACACACACACACACACACACACACACACACACACACACAGAGGGAGAGAGAACTCCATCCACATGTGGACAAACAGGACAGACAAACTTTCACACTTACAGAGTTGCCATTACCTGCATGTTTTTGGTCTGGAGAAACCAAATGATCCAGAGAAAACCCACACAGGCACATGCTGATCATGCGAACTCCACATCCAGAATCAAACCTGCAACCTTCTGGCAGTGATGTGGCAGCTGTAACCACTGCACCATCAGAGATAAAAACCAACAAGTTCTCCCTGTTTCATAATTTCACCAGGAGAACATCAGAAAAACACCCTCTGAAGTTTGAAAACTGAAAAATGTTTCACATAAATATTTGTATCAGAAGTGTCGTTTACAACAATCTCATTTTTTTATTTTGTGCACAACTTCTGAACCAGCTTCTGTGCAGAACTGAAGACGTGTCCACAAACCATCTGGAGAGTGTTACTGTTTCTTTTATGTAACACTGACCAGATTTCTGCCCTTTTTCTCCCCTCTCTCTCCTTTTTGACATTCTTTTTCGTACCACAAATGCACAAAATCCACAAATAAGAGAGAGAGAGAGAGAGAGAGAGAGCGAGAGAGAGAGAGAGGTGCAGAGAGAAAGTGGGAGGGACTGAAGGCGAGGATATCTTGGATCTGACAACTACTCCAAGAAAAAAAGGGAGAAAGTTCAGCAGCTAAAACTGTGTCTGGGTTAAAACCTTCAAAGAAGACAGAGAGTTTGAACATTTAGGGTTTAAATCCTGTTTTTCAGCACAGGAAGTCTGGATTTGGTCCAGTCTTTACAGGACGGCTAAAATATTAAGCCTGATTTTCTGTCCACTGCATTTCAGAGGACAGACGCTCCCCGAACACGTCTCTGCAGCTGCACAGTTTTCAGAGTTGAGAGAAGAAATGTCAGGCGGAACGATTCCTCTGTTGCTCGTTTGTCTGTGTCTGATGTTTGGATCGGTCCAGAACCAGGGTTCTTCTCAGGATGCTTTCATAATCCAGTACCTGGAGAGGAGACTGGCTCAGATGGAGGTTAGTTTTAACCTAAAGGAACAGTTTTATTCCTCTTTTTTGTCTTTATTTTTACTTCTTTCTGGAGTTCAGCATCAACTTCAGAGAAAATGATTCCGTAACACTTTCTTTTACAGTACCCTTATTACCATGTAATTACAAGGTAATAAAACATGTAATAAACTGTAATTACTAACTTATTACCATGTAATTACAAGGTAATTAAAAATGTAATAAACTGTAATTACTAACTTATTACCATGTAATTACAAGGTAATGAAAAATGTAATAAACTGTAATTACTGCCTTGTTACCATGTAATTATGTGGTAATTAGGGTACAAAAGAAAAACTGTTAGTAAAACTACCTTTACTGGGTAACGACAATCATTTTATCATTCAATAGTAACTCAACACTATATTTATAACCAAAAGAATGCAACTAAATGTTGGGGTTAGTGGTTAAATGTAATAAAATATAACTTTAAAACTGTCCAAATTACCTACTACTTATTTAGGTGTTACATGGTGAATTGTAATACGTTACCAGGTAAGTGCTACATTACTACAGACAATTAGTTACACAGTAAAATTGTACCCTAATTACCACATAATTACATGGTAATAAGGTAGTAATTAACATTTAATTACATTTTACCTTGTAATTACATGATAAGGGTACCGTAAAAGAAAGCGTTACCAATGATTCTTAGTTTTGAACTTGAAGGAGTTTTTTTTAGGAATGTTGAATCATCTGGCAGCAACATTTCTGGCATCTTCTCTGAGCTCTGTCTGTTTTTTATTAAATCTTCCTTTAATGGGACTCTGGCTGAGCCATCGTACAGTGTGTTTTTAAACCTGTAGATGGAAAGCTGCATGCTGACGTTTGATTTGAGAGCCAAAATGTTAAACCTATAACGTCTGTAGCTTGATCTCCTTAAACAGAGTCACTGACACCACAGATAACTTTTATGGGGTGATAAAAAAATTCAGCTGCAGGACAAGTAAATAAAACAAAGTGAGCTTTAAATTAAACATCAGTTTAACAGCCGGAGCAAACAACACCTCGTATTTATAAGAAAAGACCAGAGAGTGCTATAGCTTTTCATTCATGCAGAATGAAAATAAAAGATGAAAGAATCAAATAATCAGAACTTCTGGTGCAAAAGAATGAATTTGTGATTTAAGCACTTTGTTCTTTAATTGTGTTTTAGTTTTTGCTTTATTTTGAGTCTCCACCTGTTTGTGGACCAAATGGGGGTCAAAGTCTTCTTCAAAACAAGTGACAAAAGGAGAATCGACCAACAACCTCCAGCTCTCTGTACCAAATTAAGTTTTACAAACTGCACATTTTAGGATTTTACTGTGAGAAATATAGTTTCATAAGAAATGCAAACAAGAGAAATTAATATCCTGATGCATCTCAGTAATCCAGGTAAAAAAAAAATCTAAAAGAAAAAATCAGTAGGTCCTCTGGATGGTTCTTCTTTAGTGAAACGTTTCATCTCTCCTCCAAGAGACTTCTTCAGTCTGAGAGTTTCAGGTGAACTCAGCCTTATAAGCACTGCCTCCACATGGACAAACAGGTTAGTCACATGCAAAAGAGGGCCATCGCCTATCAATAGGCTTGATTAGCTCTATTGTTCATAGAGGGTCATGTGCCCCATCACCTGACTTATTGGTTTGGACGCTGTGGTTCTTAGGTGTCGTGTTATCTGTATGTAGTGATGGCCCTCTGTTGCATGTGACTAAGTAGAGCTAATTAAGCCTATTGTTAGGCGATGGCCCTCTTTTGCATGCGACTAAGTAGAGCTAATTAAGCCTATTGTTAGGCGATGGCCCTCTTTTGCACGTTACTAAATAGAGCTAATTAAGCCTATTGTTAGGCGATGGCCCTCTTTTGCGTGTTACTAAATAGAGCTGATTAAGCCTATTGTTAGGCGATGGCCCTCTTTTGCATGTTACTAAAAAGAGCTAATGAAGCCTATTGTTAGGCGATGACCCTCTTTTGCATGTTACTAAAAAGAGCTAATGAAGCCTATTGTTAGGCGATGGCCCTCTTTTGTATGTGACTAACCTGTTTGTCCATGTGGAGGCAGTGCTTATGAGGCTGAGTTCACCTGAAACTCATCAGACTGAAGAAGTCTCTTGGAGAGGAGACGAAACGTTTCACTAAAGAAGAACCCGTCCAACTTTAAGTAAAGTAAAACTTTAAACTTCATTTCTATAGCACCTTTCACAGACACAAACATCACAAAGTGCAGAGAACCTACTTATTTTTTTCTTTTTTGAAGAGAAATTGTTTCAAAACTTTAAGCTTTATTTTCAATTTATTCTGTCACTGACTGAAAACCTGTTCAGCTGCAGATGAAGACTCTTTTTTTTTTTTCAAATCTTTTGTCAATAAGTTATCTTTTTAATCTCATTCCTGCAGTCATCAGTGGTAATAACAGACCAAATAAAGATTTGGTACCAAACTGCATCATAAAGTGACTAAAACTGAGCTAAACAGTTTCTTATCTCTTGTTTAACCCTGACCCATCCTGTGGCGATGAAACCAGGAGCGTCTGAGTCTCTGTGAGCAAAACACTCTGAGCCTCACGCAGAAAACCTTCGACCTGTCATCTGAGGTGAGAGGCTGTCAGTCCACGCTCAGCAGCTTCAGGTCAGTTCTGTCTCACTGTCAAACAAACACACAACCAGTGAGAAACAAACACACAACACGGGCTTTTCTTTGTGTTCCCCCCAGATCAGAAGTGAAGACCCAGATGGACAGCGTGTCTGCGCGCGTCGACCGGGTGGAGGGAGAGCTGGAGTATTTGGAAAATAAAATTCCCACTCAATCTGACATCGAGATGGAGGAGGCGCTGCTGGAGCAGCAGATAAAGGTTGCAGAACTGGAGCAGATCAAGACGAAGGCCAAGCTCAACGTGGAGAACGGTGGGAGGAGTCAGGATAACATCAGCACAAAACCTGCTGTGGAAATTAATGAAGTTTTTTATTTTCTGTCAGACTGCAGCACAGCTCTGAGTCAAATCAAGTCTCTGAAGATTGTGAAGAAGGCAGGAGACCCCAACGGTTCCTGGTTTAAGGACCCATCTGAAGGATCAGCCAAGGTCACAGGAACAGCTGGTTTTTCTCCTGAGAAGAAAACATTTTTTTTATCTTATCTTATTTATGCTCAGAGTGGAGCTGCTAACAGGCAATAATTCTCCATAATAAGACCATAAAAGCTTCCTTAAAGGGGACATATCCACACGCTTCGGATGTTATCATTCATTAAATGGACGTTATTAGCCGTTATCAGTCCCATAGAATGGCTTCAGATTGTCAGCTGGTTAGTATGAGGCATAAAGCCACTAAGGATTTTTATGCAATCTGGTTCATATGAGGCATAAAGCCACTAAGGTTAATTTTAGAGAAAATGACATGGGCTACAATAAAGTAGACTGGACTCCGGCGGTGGCAGATTATTTCATTCCAACGTATATGGCACTGGTAACCCACTAGGGGGTGCCATTCTATGGGACTGATAACCGCTAATAACGTCCATTTAATGGACTGATAACATCCGAACTGGCTGACATGTCCTGCAAAATATATATATTTTTACTGTTAAATACATTTTGTTGTGGACTTGGAGTCTCTAGGAGGCAGAAAAGTTGAATTTAGTCTCTCCTGGTGTTGCAGAGATATCTTGGGTCAGATTTTCAGCCTGTTCAGTTTTCTCTATTTTCTGATGTTTTCTGAATTATTATGTCAAATTATCTGCGACGGAATCACCATATAACATCTGGACTTACCAACTACAATTTCCTGGTCTTGGTTGTCCTCTGGTTCTGGCTCAGACTGGCTCCAACATGCGAGGCTGGATGGACAAGTCTTCTCTTGTTGACATCTTTTAATTAAATTGTAAACAAAACATTTCTGCATCACTAGAAAACGTAACCCTGCCTCTCAAACCGGAGTGGACCGGTCTGGAAGCGTGAGGGGGCGGGGCTTGAAGCATCTTAAAGGAACAGTAACAAAACCAGCTGGTAAAGTTTAAAAAAGGAGGCGTTCAGACCAAAGCTTTGCAGTTCCACTTTATAAAGACCCAACTGAAGGATTTAAATGTGAAAAAGAAGGTTTTAAAAGCATCTTATGTCTTCTTTAAGACAATTTGTAACTTTGGAGTTAGAAATAATAGTAATAGAGTAAATATTTGACTTTGCAACTTCATAAAATTCCTGTTACCTTTCTGTTCAGTTTGTATCTTTGACTGTGTGTGCTTCAGGTGTACCTGCTCAGCGGGTTTCGAAACAACACCGTTCTGGAGTTTTCATCCCTGGAGAACTTCACAAAGACGTCTTCCCTTCCAGACAAGGTGATGCAGCTGCCTTTTTCCTGGCGTGGAACCGGACACGTGGTTTACAACGGGTTCCTCTACTACCACAAGGCAGACACGCCCAACCAGATACTGAAGGTTTGAGACTGAAACGCTGAAATTAAAGCCTGCGACACGCGTGATGTAACTTTTATCCAGTAAACCTGAGGTGGGATGAAAGAGTTTATTTGTTCTGTTGAGCAACGGCTCAATTTACCAGCCTACGAGTGGTGTTGAGCTGCAGCTGTTTGGAGTCTGATCACTTTGAAGGGGCTTAGTCATCAGAGGGTGGGTTCTGTTCTGTTTCCTCTCTCTCTCCGTCAGCTGAGGTCAGCCAGACCACAGAGCCAAAACAAACAAATTTGTTCCTCTGAAGTAATTTTTTCTCAAGACATTTTTAGGGTTTTGGAAGCGTTCGCCACAGGCACAAACAACACTCAGGAAATAATCTTCAACAGATTATCTTTCAGGACTGCTTTTAAAAAACAAAATGTTTATGATTCTTTTGACATCTAGACAACTAAATTATTTAAATAATAATAACAATAAAATATTTTATTTAAAGGCACCTTTCATGGCACTCAAGGACACCATACAATAAAATATACTGTATATATATATATATGTATATGTATATATAACAAAAAAATCCTCATACTTAAGACGATGTGAAATAGAAGTGATGAGGGATGTTAAACTGACTACGCCTGTTTGAAAAGAAGAGTTTTAATTTGTGACTTAGTTTGAGGAAGTTACTTGTGAACCAGGACCTGATGTCATAGAGCAGGGCTATTCAATTAAATTAGTTACTGCAGGTCAGCAGCTCAGGGGCCAAACATCCAGCATTAGTCATTATGTCAATAAACCGAGGATTATAAAGATCTGTTACCTTTGAAATAGTTTATTTTGCTGCATTTAATCATGAATACAACATACAGAACCCTATAAAAGCAGTCATAATAAAACAATATCAAAAACTAAACAACACATGCCTCCTATTTAACACAAAACTTATTTTGACATTTCTGACTTGCCAAATTTTCAAACCTATTTTATTTTCACTTTCATAGTTTTATCTTCAACTGCTCGTAATTTTAACTGTCTTGAGTGTGGATAGAAATGTTTTTACCAGCTTGTAGCCAAGATTCTGATGTTTCTGTAGATACTGTACATACTACACATACCAGTAATTAAAGTACAAAACTAGGTTTAAGAGATGAATTGGCGGGCCAAATTTTGGTCACTCACGGGTCAGATGTGGACCGCGGACCCCCAGTTGAATTGCCCTGTCATAGAGGCAGTTAGACATGAGGTGGGGCTGGGGGGTGGCAGTAGTGGTGGTGGACAGATAGAGCTGGGTGTCATCCGCGTATCAGTGTAATTTAATATTATGTTTACGAAAAACATTTCCAAGTAGAGTGAGGTACATGGTAAAAAGGAGAGGGCCGAGGACAGAACCTTGTGGAACACCAGAACAGAGAGGGGATGAATGAGAGGAAAAGGAAATTGTGTACATCCAGAAAGGTATGAAATAAACCATTTAAGGGGTGTGTCTAAAATACTGTCAATGAGGATGGTGTGTGAAATCCTGTCATTTAATATATTCCTGATTCGAATCATTCCCGCCTAAAGGTAGATCTGCTGAACGGCACCGTGGTGGACAGCACTCTGCTTCCAGGAGCAGGACGCCTTCCCGTCTACAGCCTGAATCCAAACACCTACCTGGACATGGCTGTTGATGAGCTCGGCCTCTGGGTTATTCATGCCGACCTCGAGTACGAAGGAAACTTGGTCATCACCAAACTGGATAAAGGTAGAGATATAAAAAAACATAAGAACTGCAGAAAGTTCTCTAAGAACCTTGTAGTTTTAGGAAATATAATCTGGTTTGTTGTCAACAGGAACTTTGGGCATTGAGTACACCTGGGATACCCAGTGCAGAAGCCGTGATGCTGAAGGAGCCTTCCTGATGTGTGGGACCCTTTACGTGGTCTACAACACACGCTTCGGAGGACGCTCCACCATCCAGTGTCTGTATGACATCCATGACACCATCCACAGGTGAGCATCTGCAGACACTTTGCAAAGACCAAACGTGCATCCTCGCTCCTAAACTACATGTTTGACTCCTTTTAGAGCGATGCGTTTCTTTAATGAGCTACTTTTCTTGCAGTCAAATGTTGCTTTTCTTTCTTTGAACAGCAACGAAAGTCCTGTGATCTTCTTCCCGAAGCGTTACACCAGCCACAGCAGCATCCACTATCACCCCGGAGACAAACAGCTGTACGCCTGGGACGACGGATACCAGACAGTTTATAAAGTGGAGACACGCAGCAATGACAAAACTGCTGCAGAATAACAAACTGATGCTAAAAGATACAAAAATATACAATTGAATGAATAATTAAAAAAATAAAAGTGTTTAAAGTACCCTATGAAATTTTACTTCAGTCAACCTTTGCTGGAAGTGGATTGTCAGTTTCAGTGTCAACAATGACATAATCTTTTATTCAACGTAAAGGCTTTTGTATTAGAACAATAAAAATGTTTCTACGTTTGTGCATTTTTGTGATTTTGTCTTTATTGAAAAGACTGAACTTTATTTTATATTGCTTTGTAACAAAAAGAGTCCATCTGAAGAACACAACTATTTTAGAAACTAGATAATGATCTCTAAATTTATCTATAGTTTTATTTTATTTAACCATTAAATAATGCTTAGCTGTAGCAGATGAAAACTATACATAGCTTAGAGCAGTGTTTCCCAAAGTTGGGGTCGGGACCCAAAGTGTGGTCCCGAAACATCAAGGTGGGGTCCTGAAAAGATTCTCTGAATTAATTACATTTTTGCCTTAGTTGTTACAAATGAGTGAGGTTAGTTTATTTAAAATGGATAAATGTAGTATAAAAATATTGTTACTATGCCCATGTTT